AAAAAAAAAAAAAAAAAAAATACCCCGCTGATATTCGTCCAAATCGGATCATCGTTTTGTTGGAATTTTTGAATCCCGGAGCGGAACCACGTATTTTCGTTAGTCCCGCCCATTCCGGTCATTCTCTAATTCGTTGAGAATCGTGCCTGCAATCGCTTTATCGGCGATTTATCGATGGGAATGGCGAATGAAGTGTCGCACGATGTGTCATCGACGTTCTCCGAGGAATATGGACATTTGGGATGGCAAAATTTCGGCGCGCTTGGGGATAAAAATCGCGCGTTGACGCACGCCCTGACTACGAGATGCAAGTAGATAAGAAATTATTGATTCGAGCCTCAACGTCTAATCAACGAGCTTATCCTGCCGTTTACGATTCGGCCTCGTCGGTGGTCGCGGTTTTAATCTGACTCGCTAATTAGAGGACTTTGCGCGGCGTTCTCGTTGATCGTCGGAAATTAACGCAGTCACCGGTTTCACCGAATGTACGATTCAGTCGCTTTGACTCGCCCGCTGGCATTTTAATCAACGATAAGGTTAATTGCGCGACGATTTAAAAATCATCGATTAATTCGAGGCCGGATTATCCGAGGCGGGTGTCAAGCCGAGTGATTCGGCGCCACCGGATCAATGCAAAAGCGCCGTGCATATTTGCATTCATCCTGCAATCCGAATCGACAGCGTGGTCGTCGCTGCAGCTTTTGTAGAACGTTGTAATGAATTTAATTTAGAAACAACAAATGTCGCGTTTGTTTGACTGACGGATCGCTCGCTGGATTACGCTCGAAAGTTATCTCCTCTCGCCGATTTGTAGAGCATTACGCATTACCGCGAAGCATTCGTTGCGTTCGTTACGCGAATTGGACGTCTGGCGAAGGGGGAGGGGGCGGGGGGAGGCGGGGAAACGAGAAAATAACCGCGGTGAAATTTATCCGAGTGAGAGTGAAAGGCGTTAGGAAGCGTTCTCACGTCAACGTCGCGAGGTTGTTGCGTCATCATGGGATTTATGTTACGCGCGTTGCCTTATTATGGGCGGCGTTGACACCGATTCCGTAATTATCATCGACGTTACGGCTGTTTAAAAGAGCGGCGCGCGCTCCGCGAGCATTCGCAATCGAGCGGTCGACCATTTTAGTTGAGCGACAGGACTTAACGTCGAGAGGACTCGGCTCTCTCGTTGCTCTTTGTCGTTCAAGCAGGTTTTTTTCAAAACCTTCGCGGAGATAAAATGGCCGGCTGAAAGGGGTTCGGATAAAAGGGGTACGACGCTTTCGACGCTTTCCTCTTGTTGTAAGGAAAGACGGGAAGGAGTTTTAAATCTCGATTGGAGAAATTTGACGGTATGAGAGAAGAATCAATCCTTTGTACTCGACCGTCCCTTCTGAGGGGACGTTGTACTTGAATCTAGCCAACAGCTCGGACTTTTACTCTTTTTTTATAATTTGCTGATAATTACAACGAACGTATACATTTATGTAATGGTATAATATTTTAGGAACAAACGCTTAGAGTGAAAGCTGTCAATAACGACGCAAGAAGAACAAAAGAAGAAATTTCTCAAGACAGTTGAGACAATTGAGACTCGTTGGAATCATTCACATAAGCTAGACTTCCTACTACTTCTTACGAAAGTTTGAAAAAATGGCGGAGGATATTATTTTTCCTCCAGAGATTAAAACTATATATCATTGACTCTTGTATATTATACTTGCTCCAATGCACGTTGATGAGTGTTCAAACAATCACGTGTTAGAAAGATATAATTGGTAAAATTTCGCGTCTAATGCTTTCCAATCATTCTATGTGAAGTGATGCTTCCTAAATGAATCGTTGGTAGATGATACATACAAAAAAATGTTCTCGAGGACAAAGAGTTAAAGGTGGTCAAATTGTGTTTCATAATAATATGTGGCATAATAATAATAATTAGTAGCTCGTGAATAAAGCGAGCTTAAAGTATACGTACATTTTTCAATGACACGAGATTCCAAGACGTGTCTTTTGCACGATACTGTAAAGCCAGTCGTTAATTTGCGAGTCAGGATGCAACTTAACCATCCTTGAGTGCGTCATGAACGAATCGCAATTGTCGTCGATTAATCGTTTCGTCTTCATCGGTCGTTTTTTTCATTTCCTTGGCCTTGGCCCGTTTCGAAGAAAGGCCAGACCAGCCAAGTAAGAAATCTGGCAAGGCAGCTTCGCGAGCTACTCGAAGCCAGCGAAAGTACGACGAAGGATCGACGTTTCACGCAGACTGCATTACGAAAGAACGAGTTTTCCTCCTTTGTTCCCGCGGTTTTTTTTTATTATTATACTCCAACTCCCCCTTCTGCGTGACATTTAGCAAGAGGAGTTACACGTTACCGAAGGAAAACACCAGCGGCATTGACAAATAAAATTCCTAACGATTGATAAAAATGTACGATATCAAAGCGATCGTGTCGCAATGCTGCGAGGATCGAGCTTGATTTCCTCTCGAGGAACGCGACCGGTTTCGTCAGAACGATTCGAGTTTCGAACGCCTCGAAACAGCGACAAAGGACACGTTGTCGAAGCGTGTCGATCCTAGGGCACGCGTGGGTATGGATAACGATTGCACAGGATTTATGTGGAATCGTGAGTCGTAACGGGGCAAGGACGACTTGTCGCGTGCTTAGCCGCTACAGCTGGCAACGTAAGCAGCAGGAACCATTTGAGCTGACCCGGTGTGCGCATTACTCGTGCATGTGAAGCGTAGAAAACGGGATGGCCGATGGTAGAGACCGTGTGTTGCGTGTCGATCGATTTAACTGTGAATTGTCGCTGTGTGTAATCTGGTTTCGCTTAGATTAAGTACGCAGGGAACACAGGGAGAGATTGGTAACGGCTAAGTAGCCTAGTGGTTGTCTCTTAAGTCTGGATATCGCGATGACTTTGCCTTATGTGTACGCGCGTTGAGCCTTCGTTAACGCGGGTTGCCTACCCCAACGGGAGCGAGTTTGTGGATTAAAGGCCCGGTTCTAAATCAGATCTTGATTAGATCAGTGGAATATTAAATTTCGATATTATCAAACCGGCAGATAGCGCGGTAGGTCCATCGCTTCTGAGAGCCACTTAACCGGGATCGTGTTACTAATTGCGTCCTATTAACTGTCCACAATCAGATTCGCCGTGTTCCATTCTGTTACATGCTACTCGACCTTTCGTCCGACTTATCCCATCAACCCTTGTTCACCTATCATTGATCCAACGACCGACCAAGTCTTTAAAACTCGTCGGTATTTTCCGAAAACGTCCAACCGATTTTCAACTCTCGCGCGTCCTATCTCCCGCTTTCCCCCCTTTTTCACTTCCTGATTAACGATTAACTCGGCTGTGCCT